ATACTTTTATATATATGTGTGTGTATATATATATATTTGTATAATATATATATATATACATATATATTAAAGATTTTATTGGGGAATTGGAGAAGGGGAACAGTGTTGGGGAATTGGGGAAGGGGAACAGTCAAGTTTTTGTTCTTCAGTCTTAGTTGTGGAGGGCGCAGCTAGCTCAGCTCCAAGTACAGTTGCCATCTAGCCACCCATCAGCAGCTCACAGCCACTCAGCTCAAGGTGCCGTGTTCAATCTTAGCTGTGAGGGGCGCAGCCCACCATCCCATGTGGGAATCGAACCAGCGACCCTGTTGCTCAGAGCTCACGTTCTTAACCAACTGAGCCATTTGGCCAGCCCCAAGACTTATATTTTAATCATCTCTGTATTCCTGAAACCTGCATGTTGTCTGTCACATACATAATGGTACTCTGCTAAATGTTGATTAAATTTAATTCCTAGTTACCTTTGGACTTGAACTCTTCTAGCCATTGTATGGCCACAAGGAGCAGGAACAATCTGTCTTTTACAGGATGGCCTGGTGAAGACAAACATGGAGAAGCTGACCTTCTATGCCCTCTCAGCTCCAGAAAAGCTAGATCGGATTGGCGCCTACCTCTCTGAGCGGCTCATCCGTGACGTGGGCCGTCATCGATATGGGTAAGTAAGATGGGAAAGGGAGAGAGAGATTTTCAGAAACTATGTTATATTTTTAGGGCAAAACATAGGATTTTTTAATGAAAATGATAGTAGATTGGATTATTGAACAGACAGAAAATGGGGACTGGGGCTGAGGGGTGGGTTCCATGTGTTCTTCTGCTATTGCCCAGATTTGGGAAGAAAGGGATGTTGACTTCCTAGGATCACCTCTTTTTAACATCCACCCTTGTGTCACTATCCAGAAGCTCACACACATCCTGAGGCCTTGAAAACTTAGTGTAGCCCAGAATATGCTATTATGCTCATGAAACCCATCCTGCCTCGTTCAACTTTACTGTCTTGAAAAGCAAGGAGGAACTGTTTGTATTCTAGTGAAAAAACAAGATTAGAGGTAATTTCCCCATTAAAATTACACTTAAGTGAAATATTTATCAATCTTCTGAGATGGGAGGACTTACCATATTTAGAGGACCAAAAAAGTCTTAAAGAAAATGACAGATCAATAGATTTACTGTTTAAAATTTTAAATATTTGATGTCAAAAACGAAACCATCAAAATGTAAGAGACACATGATGAAGTGTTTTTTTAAAAATCAGACAAAGGATTCAGACTTATATTTTAGTGGCACGTAATAAGTAGTGGGGGTCCATGGGGGAAATTGAGACACTTAAAGATTTGAGGCCAGGGCCCTAAATAACCATCTTACAGAAGAGGAGATAGAACTGGTTACAAACATGGGATAATATTTAACAAACTTATAATCAAAGATGTGGATTCAAATACTAAGATACCATTTTCACTTATCAAATTGATTAAAAGAAGTAAATATTTCCAGTTTGCACCAAGGGATGGCAACGTGAGAGGCATTTTAGTTCTTTTCTAGAACGAGTGCAAATTGGTTGAAACTTCCTAGAAAGTAATTTTGAAATATGTCAAGAGCTTCAAAAACACTTACGTCCTTTGATCCAATGATTCTGTTTCTATTCGTCTATCCCAAGGAATCAATCTTACCTATAACTGAGCTTTACACACAGAGATATTCATTATGGTGTTTTACGTGATAATGAAAATGTGGAAATATCTTAAATGCCCCGTAAGAGGAGAATATGAGCTTAGTAAATTATGGTGTTTATCACTTGTTGAAATAGTATCTAGTCAATAAAAATGGTGTTTATGAGCATGCTTTCCATGTAATATGGAAACATGGATTACATAATCATGTACACAGTGTTGACAATCAAGTTAAAAATAAACAACAAATCTCAGTGCCTAGAAAAGAGAGAAAGAAAAACAAACATGCCACAAATGTTAAGAATATGCATTTTGTGAGCAGTATGGCTGGGGTTCATTGGTTTGGTTTTTTCCTGTCTGCCTTTTTTGTGTTCCTGCATGTTCTCTACTGAGCATGTGTTACCCTCACAATGAAACAGGTGACCTGCAGGACATACTGTTTGCTGCTTCCCCATCACACCACAATTCGGAGTGGGGCTGAATATAAAGGGAACCCTCAGCTGTCCCTGGTAACATTGGTGACGGGGCAGAGGGTATAGCAGAGGGTGGGGTGGATTTAGGGAATGGTTCCTCAGTCCTGTTGCTTCTGTTCTCTACAGAGCCTTTTATATCCATCCTACCTTCCTCCTGGTGCAGCCTCTTACTCTCTTGTAGCCTTTGCTCCCCATTTTCCTGTTCTGGTCCTTCCAGGTTAATGCTGCTAGCTGTGGTCATCAAAACACAGTTCCAAAGCTACACTTGCCAGGCTCCATTAGAATAAAATACAAGCTCCTAGCTTGACTTATAATAGGGACTTCCACAACCTGCCTCTAACTTGCTGGTTCACCCAGCCACGCCCGCCATAACTGCCACATCTGCCACGGCTGCTCTAGACCCGCTCCAGATGGACTGGCTGTCAATTACCTTTGGCTCTCCAAGCCTCCTGCCTCTGGGCCTTTGCTGTGCTCTCTCCCCTTGACCCCCTTCATGCTCCCCCACACCCCAACTGCCCATCAGCCCCACCACCCTCTAAGGTGCCTTTCTCCTGCTGAGGAAGATGGAGCAAGTGCTAGAGTGAAAAGGTTCACATTGTGCTGACAGGTTGTAAGGTCCACACCTCTGTAGGACTCACCAGCAAATCCAACCGTAAGCTATAACCCTGGTATAAAAGCAAGATCAGAAACAATTCATTTCCATGATCATTTTATATAGTAAAATTAGGTCACATGCTCAAGAAAAAGGACATGAATATACTGTACATGCTGATTATATAAGTCGCCTTGACATTTTATAAAGCAGGTTCATGCAAGTAAAAATGACTTTATCCTAGATTGAACCCCACACCAATGTGTGAGCAATAACATTAAACATTTAATACTAATTTTGCCTGCCTTCGCTGCAGTTCTCTCTGTAAAAATATCCTGAGGCCAGCAAAGCCACTCAGATGTATTCCACTGCCCTTAGAACTGCAATTTGGAATTGGTACCGTCTGTTAAAAATAGCTTATGCAGCATCTAAGTATTTAAAGCCTTGAAGGCCTCGCTGGGGGCTCTAATCAAAGATTTAGAGAAGATCTGTTAGCTCTGATCTCCTGTTCTCTCTCCTCCCTTCCCCGTCTAGCCTTACCCAGTGCCATACTCATCACATCATCTTCCTTGTCACTGATGGCAGCTTGGGAAGAGTAAAATATTTGCATGCGAACAGTCTGAGGGGCTGTGTCTTCCTGCTGTCATGCATGTGTCTGTACTTACGGTTTGACCATGCGGACATGAACCTTGGGTGTTGGACCCAGTGGCAGAACCACCCTCCTCTGTCCCATTGCCTCCCTGCAGCATCACCCCATTCCAGTTGTGTGTGAACTGGGTCTTTACATGTATATTTGTTCAGCATCAGTGGTGAGAACCAGATGTGGGCAGAGAGAGGATATAGTGCGAATTTCAGTGTTTTTCGTTGGCATGGACTATGATGGGCAGTGATGTGCAGAATAGCAAACAGCAAGTGTTTCCTCATATGTTTCATATTTTCTGCTTTGTACATTTCCCTTCCAGTTCAGCCCAACTGCTAGAACACCCCCCAGAAACTAGAGAGTAAGGCAGGGAATGGCGGTGCTGTGTGAGACTTGGGGTCAGGTGAAAATGACCACAGAGCACTGACCATGTCCAGAACGTCATATTAGATCCTGTCAGGTATCCCAGTGCCTGGAGCCCTATAGGGTGGAGATGTCCACACCCAAAGGGATGGGCTGCTCCCCAAGGAGCCTGGCCCCAGAGCTGACCTGGGAGGGGGGTTCCTAAGAGATACACATTCCCCGGAAGGACCCTGAACCTGGTTAGCGGATGCTGACCCTTCAGAGATACCACAGATTCCTACTGGATGAGGAGGTTCGTCCTTCCCTCCACTGGCTGAGGTCAGTCCCTGCTTTTGGGCTCCTAAACCTTAGGAGGTTCTATCCAGGCGTGGGGCTGACCAAATGCATTCAAACTGCCCAGAGGTCCTTCTTCAAGGCCTCTGCTCTTTGAGTGATTCTTGGGCAATGACTGGCCTTGCTAAAGCTGCCCCCTCTCTCCTGTCTGCTGGTCCTCATCTCCGACCCCAGATCTGCCTTCCCTTTCCAACTAGGCCTGGGTCCCAGATTTTGCATGCCCGCTCCTCCTCTGCTAGAGGCTCAGCATCTCCCTGGCTCCTCGGGCCTTTCCTGACAGAGGACAGGGTGTTCAAGCAGAGCCAGCTACCTATCGTGGAGTTCATACAAGGTACTTCTTGCCTTGCTCCTACGTACCAGGGCCCCTGTGTATTTTCCTCAGTTATTATAAGTCACGTTATGCCTTGACCCTGAGTTCCTGTTGTTTCAACCTGCCAAGTGTCCTCTCCAGGATTTGGTTGCTACTTATGAACCCTAGTCCATCCAGATTCCTTGGGGCCTGTCCTCCTTACCTGCTGGGAAGCCCTACTAGTACATCCAAAACCCTTGGTTATCACCTGCTGCTGTGGTCGGTAAGCTGTTCTTACCTTCTCCCTTGAGCTCCTGCAACGGGCTAGTCCTCAGCTGCTCTCTTCTACCCCATCCTGCTCTGAGTACCCAGTCAGGCCAGTTCAGTTTCCCAGACTCATTACTGCACTGGGTGTCTTCCAAGACTCCAAGCCCAGATCAGATCTCTGTTGAGACCATCCTGACTGGCCCTAGTCCTGTTAGCAGACATCATTCTGAGAAACCTGTGCTCTAGTCCTTTTGAGAGTGTAGGACATACCTGGGAAGGTGATGGTAAGATAAGACCAACACAGCAAGCATTGAACTAGGGGCTTGCAAGTTCCCATTGACTTCTAATCTTTAAGATACTTTGAAAAGTTCGTAATCACAGTCCTTTCATCCTTAGTATTGGGATCAAATATGGGGAATGAAGGATAGTGTGTTCAGAGAACTAGGCCTTAAACTTTCTTACTTTTCAACTTTCCATCAAAATTTCTACTCCTGGTGAGTAGCCATTTTTTCTTTCTTTCTTTCTTTTCTTTCTTTCTTTCTTTCTTTCTTNCTTGAGAATCTTCCTTAACCAGCCCAGCCTAAGCAGCCTGTATTCTCCTTTGAGCCACCGTAGTAACACAGGAAACTTTCCATGAGAAAGGTCAGTCCACCCAGGCTGGCTTATATTTTTTATTTATTGATTGTGCCTTTTCTCCCCACCTAGACTGTCAGAGCCCTGAAAGCAGACCTGTGTGTCTTGCTAACACTTTATGTCCCCAGGCAGCCCTTTGGCATAGTAGGAGTCTATAATAGGTGCTCAGTATCTGTGTGGCAAACCTTATTTCTCCCTCCAGTGGCAGCCAACCTAGTGTGTGGGGCTGGCTGGTCACACAAAGGGGTGGTAGGAGAGGCTCTGGCATGAGGCTGGCTCTTGCACCCCCATGAGCAGATCAGAGTCTTATGTCAAGGTCCTCTGCCAATTACCACCTCCACTCAAAAGAAGGGTCTTTGCCTTTGTTATATGCCAACTTTTAAAGCACGTCTGATTATGAAATACGGATTCCTAGGTAGTTACAAAGAAATATCCAGAGAGAGCCCATGTACCTTTCACCCAGCTTCCTCCAATGTTGACATTGCATAACTGTAATTCAATATCCATGCCAGGAAAGTGACACTGGCACAATCCACAGTGCTGCTTCAGATTCATCATTAGTTATATATAAACTTAAAAAACAATTCCGTTGAGAAATTATCTTTTTACTACTTGAGCACATTTTCTTCATACCCCTGCCTACATATTTAATGTCACTTCAAATCTTTAGACACCGTTGCTCTGAAGTCAGAGGGCCTCCCTTGCTCTGTTCCTGACTCTGTTCCTTGCTCTCTATGTGATCTTGGGCAAATTAACTAACCTCTCTGGGCTTTGGTTTTCTCATCTGAAAGTGACAATACTAACCTCATGGGATTTTTTTTAAGTGTAAAGTGCTTAAGTTAGGCACATAATATAATAGGCACTCAGGAAATGTCAGTGTTTTCTTTCTACCCTCTTGCTACTTAGAAAACCCTCTTTTTCTCACAATTCAATGGGATCTTTTCTCTTTGAATTAACGTTCAAGCTTAGCCCCCTCTGGGGCCNCTTTCTTGCTTTCTTGCGTTCTCCCTTTCTTTCCCTCTCTCTTTCTCTCCCCCTCCCCCAAAAGGATGGTTTTTCCTTATCAGTATTTTCTGGGAATTTTTTTTTTTTACAGGAAACGGAAAAGCAGCAATCTAAGCTCTAGGGTTTGGGAGGCCTAGTTTCTTCTCTTGCCAAACTCCACCCCACCCCTTCCTTTCCCTTGTTTAAACTCTGTAAAATAATGATGAAACCCTTCATAAAGAAGGATGCTGAGGTGATTGATCAGAGCAGAGACTTCCACGCTGTCTGCCTCCATTTCCCACTCACCATGTTTGGTCGCCAGAATGGGTCCAGTTTGGTCTTCAGGGAAAGTCTGTCCCCTTTGTAAGGGTCCCAGCCCTGCAGGATTCAGCCTGCTTCACTGGCCTGCCCAGTGGACCTGAAACATGCTGGGGTGGCCCACAAGGCACAGCAGGTTTCCTGGACTGTGAACCATGAAGACCTCTGAAGGGCAAGGCTCTCTCGAGCCAGGAATGGAGACTTGGTTCACAGAAGGAGCTCAAAGACCCCGCTTTTGTATTTCAAAGACACTCTGTAGATAAGAGCATGACCTGTGAATGCACCCAGAGACAACTATTCAATAATACTTAATAATGTTAAATAGTGATTTAATAATAGTTGACTCCATATAGACACAAGAAACATTGTATAAGTGTAAACAGGAAAATTTCATAGTAGAGAGGCTGTGTTTCTTATGGTTGCTCGGTATAGAAATTAGCTCAAGGGTATCTAAGAAATGGTTTCTGATGTCTTAAAAAAAAAAACTTAGAAGATGCCATGACTGCTGTTACTTTAGATGCTTGGATTTGCAAAGCTGACTCACGTGAGAGATAGTTTGGACACACAGGTTTATGAAACTGAGTGGCTGCCACAAGTATTAATTACAGAGCCGGCAATCATCCTATGGTCGTGTTCCCCATGCTCTCTTTTTATTTAACCAAACTTAGTTTTTAAAAAAAGAAGACAAAGACTAGCTAATGAGGAGTTTTTAAATATCTGCCTAACATTCAAAGATGGATATGATTTGGATCTCAACATAAAGAACCAATCTTTTCATTCATCCTGTATTATATGTACGGGGCATATATGAACCTGACTTGACAGTGTCAGGCAGCTTTGACGCTTTAAAAGCCGGTGGTGACAGCTTTACTTGATCTTTAAAGAGGGCTCTTTTGCTCCTTGCTTTTGACTTGGAGGCTGATTCCTTAGCACTGCAGTTAGGTTTGGGAGTTCTCTGCTCGCTTTACTTCCTCTGCATTTTCTTTGTACAGGGAAGTACTTTTCTATTCCACATGATTTGGTTTGGCAAAGTAGAAGGCGCGCCACCCTGTGCTGGGCACATAAACGCACACTCCAAGTGCGTGAGGCTTGTGATGATCCCCTTCTAGCACGACGGAATCATTTCAACTCCTCTTTCCTATGACGTCAGTCATTTGAATCGCTTTGGATTGCTCAGGACTCACTTTGATTTGCACCATCAGTTTTTCAAAGCACTCCTAAACCTGATCATCGGATCCTGTTAGTTAGGATACAGAGAGAGAGACTCAAAAATACAGTGGTTCTTGCAGTATGGAAGTGGTTTTTCTCTCTCTCAAGTAACCGTCCAGACTGGGTCTGTGGGCTCTGCGTCATGAGGTCATCCAGGGACTTTCATCTCTGGGTGTCCAGTAGTTGCCATGGCACAGCCAGCAGGAAGAGGGGAAGAAAGGACAGGAGGAAACTCCTGTCTTCTATGCAAATGATGTTAACATTGTTCGCCTCACTTCTCCTCATTTTAATGGCAACTTTTTCATCATGTGGCCTCAGGAGATGATCCTAGCAAGCAGCCACAAGCTCAGCTAAAATTCTAAATTACTAGGGAGAAGGGCGGGAAGAGATTCCAGGGGAGACATCTAGCATTCTGCCCCCAAAACCTAATTCCTTAAAGAAAATTATAAATATATAAATCAGGCTAATTTTTGACAGATTTGCAGCAGCTTCCTCATTAGAAGTTAAAAGATAGCCTTTTTCTATGAATGTCTTCCTTATTTTTTGGGGAATGCAAATTCTTTGTAAGTGAACGCTGTATCTTTCATGGTGTACATTATCCGACCACATGCTCGTTTTGTCACTATCACGGAACAAATGTTGGGGTGAACTTAGACATGTACCCTTAATTCCCAATAGGAATATGATCCTTGGGTAGCATTTTTATTGGGATTTAAGAGAGGCATTGAAGAAGACAGTGACATCCAGGATAATTGGGGGTTGTCCTGCAAAGACTAATTTGAGAAGAATTGGGTATTTTTAGCACGGAGAAGAGAACAAGAAAAATGAGATTGTTGTTTTCAAGTCTTTGCAGGGCTGGCAGGTAGGAGAAGTTTCAGCTCTCTTTCTTGTTGCTCCTAAAAGTAGATCTGTAAATAAAGGATAGAAGTTATTAGGATTTGCTTGAAATATAAAGAAGCTTTTATTTGGTTGTCCAAAAAACAGCATGGACTGACTTAATTAGTAAGCTATTCACCATTGGATGCTGTGTACTCCTAGTTCTGAAGGCTCTTCACTTAGGGTTTAGGCTTCAGAAGAATTAAGTAGTTAGGGACTTAGAACTGACACAGCACACCTTCTTCATAAGGAGAAAGAATTTTGATTCTGTGTCTATCTTATCCTCCGTGAGGTAAAAATGCCCACTACTTAGGGTCACCCAGACATAGTAATACCGTCAACCATATGATTTGTGTCATACTTCATCATATAACTTCTGAGATCTTCAAATACAAAACTTGCAAATTTTATGCTCCTTAACCTTTGCAGTTGGCTGGTCCTCAGGCCCATGTCAGATTCTTCACAAACTTGCTTCATAAGGTTCTTCACTTCCTCCCCACTACAGCCATCTCTCTCCTGCTTTGGAACCCTCATGGGACGTCATGCATGATTTTCTTGCAGCATTTCTTATTTTCCCTTTAGAAGAGAGATTCCTGTGTGTTTATCTCATCCATCCGACTCTGGGATCCTTAACTTGAAGGACTTCTTCATCTTTATACCCCCTGCCCTGACTAGGAGAGCTTTTCCTCAGCGGGTGCTCAACCAACACTTCTTGACTTGGATCAAGTAATGCTCTGATCACACTGTGTTCTGGTTCAGGATTTGCTCTCTGGGTATCAATGCTTTCTGCCTCCATTTACTCACGAAGTGGTAAACATCATCTGTCCTCCTGTTCTTCAGCTGTAAATTGAAGCGCTGTGTGCGTTGGTCTTTAGGCTCCCTTCCAACTCTGCTTCTCAGTGCTGGGATGGGGTGGGCACCTGTCGGGATGGCATCCAGGCATTGACAGCTGGTAGAAGAGCCTCATTACCTGGATGCACCCAGGCCATCACTGCACCGCCCTCTGGATTGTCATGTAGTGCGGGTGGAGTGGGCGTGCGCGGAGTGATGGCAGCGGCGTGGCTTTCCCCAGGTACGTGTGCATTGCCATGGAGGCGCTGGACCAGCTGCTCATGGCCTGCCACTGCCAGAGCATCAACCTCTTCGTGGAGAGTTTCCTCAAGATGGTGGCCAAGCTGCTGGAGTCAGAGAAGCCCAACCTGCAGATCCTCGGCACCAACTCGGTAAGGAGCTGCCTGGGAAGATGGGGGTTGGGGGGCTCTGGCTGGGAGTGGGGTACAGGGCGGGTGGAGCCTTGGGGTCAGTGTGGTTACGATCCATTCCTATTTGGTTTGTGACCCTGTAAGTACGACTCAGTGCTTATCTTAGTGGCTCCCTTCGTGTGGATAAAGGTATACTTTAATTTGAATATAAATACATAACATATATTATACTTCATATAAATATAAAGTAAAATAAATTTTAAAAATAAAATTACCGCATTAAAGCACATGATTCAGTGGTTCTAGTATATCCACAAGGTGGTGCAACCATCACTGTATAGAATAAACTGACGTCCACGGGACAGAGGCACAGGTGGAAAGATCACAGGAAAGCAGGAAACAGGGCTTCTGGCTTAGTTCTGCCCTTACCTAGCTGGGTATCCTCCAGCAGGTTAACCTTGAACCTCAGTCTTGTCATTGATACCATGAGCGGATTGAACTTGACCAAGCCCTAGCATGCTGGTCTTAGTGTGGTGCCTGCTATCATGAGAGGTTATGGTTTGGGGAGAGAAGACCTAGCAGGTGTGTCAAGAACTCCCAGCTCTGCATGTGTGTAGATACATACTTGAATTTTCGGGTTGCTTTCCCCAATTTCTTGCCCTCTCTCCTATTCCTTCCTCTTCAGGGCATACTTTCAGTTCCAGGTCTTTAGGCAGCTTGGTGTTAAAAGCCCTGATGCACAACTATTTTACGCATATCACCAAAAAAAAATAATAAAGTTTAAGGTTTGTCCTCTTCACATTCATTCCTGACTTTTCGGAATTTTTATTGCATGGGTCACAACTGCTTTCCTTTTCTATGTTGATTTAACCGGAAAATTGTCTTTCAACTTAACTTTTCAAGACCAGAAGTCACAACCTATTCCTTCCTCTTTCCTCTCGCTGTGGGCCAGCTGCCTTGGACAAATTACATCTACAGTAGCAGAGGGTGAAGTCTTTTGTCAGGTTGCCCTGGCAACAGCTTCAGATACTGTTTCCCTTGTCCTGTTTCACATAACTATAGTCTAGAAGAGAACATCTGAATTGAAAATAAACCAGTCACCCGGCATCCAGAGGGCGTCTCCCTACTGGGGACACAGAAGCAGGTGGCCGCCAGCTCTTGCTTTTCCCACAGCAAATCCTGGCCCAGGGTAGGCATTTTGTTAGCTACAGCCTTGAAAATCCAGGGCCCTGCAAATTCCTAGATTCTCCATCACAGTTTATCATTGCTACAGCAAGACAGTGATCGACTAACAATGGCTGCCCTGCAGACAGTGAAGATTGTGTAAAGATAGGCAATTGTAAGTAAGTGAAGTCAAATAACTGCAATGGATTCCAAGTGCAGCTCTGGAGGCAGCCTTTCTAGTGGTGCCCTCATCCAGGTGCTCTTTCCAGCTCTCTAAGCCTGGAAACTTTTCAAGCCTCCCCCAAGAAGAGCGTCGTTTTGCGCCTCATCATTTTTGAACTGCCAGCATGCTAGCGCTTGATGTAATCTTAGAGAGTCTAGCCGAGGTGTTTCAACTGGTTTTCATGGGGATTGAGGCTTTGTGGGGGCAAAAGGGGGCTGCAGGAGGAGGAGGAATAGAAAGAGTCTGTGTGGAACCTTGCAACATTTCGTTTGGGTAAAGGGTTTTGCTGCCAGGAAATTGAAAGAAAGACAAGGAAATTGGGAAACAGAGAAAGAAAGAGAAAAGGTGAGCTTTTCATCCATCACCCCCATTTTGCTGGATTTCTCTGCCTGGAAATGAAGGCCCAAAGAAGTCCAATGGCTTGCCTGTGCTCGCGCAGCTAGAGCACCAGCTTTAGAACGGCGATTTATTCAGCCTTGTGCCATGTGCTCTCCTCTCACTGGGCCCCACCCAAAGTCAGTGGCATATAGGTATTTGTGCGTTTACTGCACCACAACCTTAAGTCAAGCAGGCTTGGAGGTGGCGCAAAAGCAAGTCACTTAGCTGCCACAGGGAAGGGTGGCCTCCAGTGGCTGGAGTGATATAGGGTCCTGGAGCGCTTTCCTTCTGGTAAAGCAGAAAGCCTGTGACTTGCCCGAGGCTCTGCCCTTCCCCACTTGTTCCCTCACTCCCCCTGTACCTCATTAAGATCTCTCCTCCCTGAATGCCTTTCTTTATCTCCCAGGTTCAGCCCCCACTGAGGCTGCCTTTCTTGGCCTCCCTCCTGGACCCCGTGGGAACCAACATACTCTTTGTCCACCCACCTTGGCCTTCTGGTCCCGCTGCAGCCGTGCCCTGCCTTCTCCTCCAAATGCCCCTGTTCAGAGAACCACCTCAGAAGACCACATGACTGCGGGTTGGGGCCTCTACAAACACACACTTTCCAATTTTATCTGGGCTTTCAGGGCAGCAACATTCTTTGACATCACCCTCTCCCGTCCTCTCAGTGGTCACCATAAACCTTCTATTTTCTCAATTGCTTCCCAAATCTGTTTCTTTGGTCTCACAGGTGGCCTTTCCTTCTTCTAGCATTGAGAAAATGGGGGCTGTCCATCAGCTTCCTGTGTCCAGCTGCTGCTTCTCCAAAAGGTCCCCATTTAACTTTGTTTTCTGTGCCTTTTATATCTCTTAACCAGTCCCAACCCCATCTCATCTCTCTTTGTTTTTCATAACATTGAGCTTTTGAAGAGACCAAGTCAGTTGCTTTGTAGAATGCCCCATATTCTGGATTTGTCTGATTATTTCCTTGTGGTGTCATTCTTTTTGTGCTCCTGTCTCCTGTACTTCCTGCAAACTGGAATTAGATCTGAAGGTTTGATTAGTTAGATGCAGTTAAAAACTTTTGCCCACATTAGTTCATGGGGGGTGCTGGGTACAACACTGAGCGTCTCAACGGGCGCACAATGTCTAGTGTCCCACTTTTATGGATGCTAAGTGCAACCCCAGGTTAGGGTAGTGATAGCTAGCTCTCTGCATTATAAAAGCACATTTTTGTCCTTGCAGTTAGAAATCTGTAAAACCATATAAATAACCCATTCCCCCTCATCTTTCAGCTGATGTTTTTATCTTTGGTGGCATTTCTCCCTGTTGATTGCACCTTCTTCATACGCCCTGGACTCCGTGGCCCTGTCACTCCAGCTCTCCCCATCTGGCTCATCCTTCTTCGTTTCTGTGGTTGGTTGAATAGTGGTCCCCCAAGGATATCCACAGGCTAATCTCTGGAACCTATGAATGTTATTTTGTATGACAGAAGGGACTTTGCAGATATGATCAAGTGAAGGATCTTGAGACGGGGAGATTATCCTGGATTATGTGGGCTTGATGTCATCACAAGGATCTTTGTAACAGGGAGATGAGAGGACCAGAGTCAGATGGAAGGTGACATGATGATGGAAATAAAGAGAAAGAGATTTGAAGATGCGACCCTGCTGGCCTTGAAGATGGTAGTGAAAGGGGACCATGAGCCAAAGGGTATAGGTGTCTCTGGAAGCTAGAAAAGCGAGGGAAGTGAATGCTTCCCTGGAATTTCCAGAAGGAACACAGCCCTGCAGACCCATTTTAGAATTCTGATCTCCAGAACTATAAGATAATAAATTTGTGTTGTTTTGGCCACTAAGTTGTGGTAATTTATGACAGCAACCATAGAAAATAATATGGTTTCCTTCAATGATTCTGTTCTTACATTTACCTCTGAAAAGTCTATGGTCTCCAAGATAGGTGCTTCACCCTCTTCTCACTCTATATGCTCCCCCTGGACAATTTCATCAACTCTTGTGGTTTAAACTGTCTTCTACAGCCTAGAAATGCTCCCATCTCCAACAACAGTGCTGAAGTCACTGCTGGAGATCAGTAGGCTAGAACTGGGTCCCATGGAAGCAGGTCAACGTGAGGCCAGTGGAACAGCTCATGGGGTCATGGGGTCATGGGTCAGCACCTGCAAATGACAGAGTCTTAGAGCAGAGGCAGCTGGTGCTTCCCAGGTTCAGGCCTTGGGGGTCAGCACATGGGGCTGCTCCGGGCCAAAGGAATCCCCTTCTCGGGAAGGAAGGACTGAGCTTTCCTAGGAGACCTTAAAACCACACCAGTTATACAAAGAATCTTGAAGGAGGGAAGGCTCAGTGGAGGTAGGCAGGAGAGGATGCCTTAGGTCTCAGGAATGACTGTCTCAGGAGACCTGCACAACATGACCAGGCCACAGTGGAACTGTCTCTCTGGCTTTAGTGAAAACTGCTCCCAGGAGCCTCTATAAACAACAGCAGGGGGGAGCTGAACAGGGCAGGGTGTGTTAAAGTCACAACCGTGTGGTTTACAAGGTCTGCTTTCCAGCTAGTACTCATCTTAGTGAAGCAAAGAGGCAGTTCCTATTTCTCCTTCTGTAGGTAAACACAGCGGAAAGGCCTGCAGTCCTAGACCATGAGCGAGTTGGGGTTCTCCTTCTGCCCAGCCTTTGAAACGATGGCTCTGTTGTCGATGGCAGGAAGTTGTGTGGCTCAGAATGCCCATCTGGAGAAGAGGGAAAGGCTAGCTGCTGCTTGGAGACTCGCCTAGCGCTGCAGAGAGCCCAGCCAGCTCAGCTGCCCTTTCCCAGACCAGGGGAGAGCTAGTTTTGCAATGTCAATATTTGGAATTTGCTCTCTCTTTATTGACCCAGGCCCTTAGTAACTCTGTTTCCACACAATTGCGGCTCCTTCCTGCCTGTGCAGAGGGTTGATGATCTGTTCCGGGAGGCTTGGAACACTTTGTCTCATACAAAAAGCTGAAACTTTGATTTTGAAAGAGTGGCCCTAGGCAGTGCCCATGGCCTTTGAAGGGTCACATGTGCAGGATCTTCAGTTCGTTGCTATGGAGACCTGTCTCATCATTCCAATATGTTTAATACAAAGATCTCAACTTTATTAGTTCACAATCTCATGCATCAAGGCAAGTAGCATTTTAATAAAAGCCATTTGTGAGGTATGAATTAATAATGGTAGAGGTGAAGCAGACAGAAAGTTCCTGCTTGTTAAAAAAAAAAAAATGGTGACCAGCAGCACGG